GCCGCGGGGGCCGGTCGTGCTCTGCCCGGCTCGGTCTGCGAGCACAGGGGCAGGAGGTAGGTCGGTCTCCGCCCCCACCTTGACGTCCTGGACTCTGACCCTGCAGCGCTTCCCAGGCGGCTGACCTTTCCCTCGGTGCCCGTTAGCGAAGGGTCTCCTGCTTGGTGTGTTGGCCTGCCCGAGTGGCCCTGCCGCTGTTGCAAGCAGCTTGGAAAGGTGTACAGACATAGGGGGTAAGGAAGCTTACCTGAAGGACTGCGAGGGGTGCGTGTGTGTGTGTGAAGGTAGCGTGATGCCAGGGATGATGCAGACGGAAGAGACCGTGAAATCAAGTTCCAAATCACGTCATCTCAGAACCTACCTGCCGTCTCTTTTTGTCCTGCTTCTTACCTCTGTTCCCTCTTATTTCATTTACTGCCTTTCCCAGTGGACCTTTCCTCTTCTGCTGGATAGTTAATGTTTCACTCAGAAAACCTGAAAAATCAATATTGCAGAACCTGTTTAATCATAAGCTGCATCTGATGATACTTAAAAGTACAAGGCACGTACAAATATTTTACTGGTTAGGAAAACTTTTTCAAGAAAGATGTGTCAAGGGTTGATTATAGAAAGTGATTGTTTTCAGAAACCGGCTCCACCCTTTATTCCTGATCCTCTGTTCTGTTTCTGGTAGGTCAGTTTAATGAAAGCCTAGACTAAAACACCCATTTAATCTAAGCAAAAGTTTATTATCTAAATACAGTTTTTATTAGAACAGATTCGAGAATACATTTTCTCATTTTTTGTTCTTTTTCTCAAATATTAATGGATATATTCTGGCTAAGGGCTCACTCAGCACTGATCTGAGTATTGGAAGCATGTGGAATGTAGAAATCATGTATGGACATGTTGATGCAGTAGGGAATTTCATTTCCCATTGGTGTCACAATAGCTTCAACTTGCCATAAAAGCACAGTTTAGGCATGAAGGGTAGCATGAACTTTCAAAACATCAAGTAAATGTGTAAGGTACTCAGACCTTCATACTTCCAGAAAAAAAAGATATCCACTATCAGAAAAATTAGGAAGAAAGTTTCACTTCGGGCATTTTAATCTAATGCTGTCCACGCTAAGATTTCAAATACTTTTTTTTCCCCCAGAACCTAGTTGGTGAAGACCACTGAAAAAGATGAGATGCTGTACTAGACAAGAGAAAGTTGGTTGCTGCTTTCAGGAACTGTGCCAAAAGGCTTTCTTTGCATTCAAAGACGTCCCCCTCCACCCCCAAATACTGAAGTTTACAGATGCAGCTGCACCCCACTAGCCACCGTTACCTGCTTCTCAGTCTATTTCTAATCCCACCTTCTCTAGGGTCAGATTTACGCAGTCTTGCCCAGGGACAAGTTTTCCATGACACTGGATTCATCGCTCAGCTACAATATGGTAGGTAGCGAGTATAACACTGTTTATGCTGACCAAGCAGCATGTAAGTCCTGCTGCCCAGCAACCTGAATCTAAGTCATACACCTGGATTAAGTCCCTTACATAGCTGATCATTCATTTTATCCTCTTTTATTCTGATTTGCTCAACAACTTTAACCAGGTGCCAGGCATACGCTCAGGCCCCACTTGCAGAGCAGTGTGTTCAATTCAACCTATGCATCTTGGGCAAGAGTTTAACGTTTTCTGAGCTGCACCTCCTCCTGCTATAACACCACTGCTGTCTTGTGCAAACACTTTGAGCCCTGTGATGGACTCTGGTCATGTTCCTAAGGTTCCTATTACTTCAGCTGCAAAAATACAATGATTAGATTTTATTCAGGGCTGGGTAGCACTTGCCTTAGCCTGCAAAAGAGACCTCGTATGACCTGATCTGATATGGCAGTCGCTCTGCTTGTGGGAATACCGTGAACCTTGCTAACCTGTTTTTCCTTTAGTTCATGATGCTGCACGCTGGTTATGTCAACAGTATCAGCTCTTTCACTTATGATTACTTCAGGCATTGTTAGCTCTAATGGCTCAGCAAGAGCAGAATGGTGGTTGAACATACTTTTACAAGGAGCAAGGTAAGATGCAAGTATCTCCTGAAGTGAAACAGTGCTTTTCGTGATTCTGTCTGTGCTGTTTCAGCCTCATCTGTGCTGTGATGGTGAGAGCATTGAAACAGGAGGAAGTTTAGGGGGGGGGGGGGGGGCAGGCAGGACGGCACAGCTGCTGACAGCAGCAGACGTGCTAGTATCGTTAGAGGTGCTCTCGGCCGGACCTGCGCAAGTGATGCAGCTGACATCACTGACAGCTGTGGTATGGTTGTTGGAGCGTACATAACTGTAAATTCTGCTCTGATCCATATTTGCAGACGGTTGCTGTAATTGAATGCCTCATTAATTAGCAATTACAAGATGGGTCACTAGTGTCTACTAAGTGGCCTAGTGTAATACATAAATCCCGTTCCTAAAACCGTTCAAATCCTGGGACTGTTTTGAGGTCAGTGCTGAAGGGATTCAGACGTCAATAGTGAAGAGAGGCCTTGGCAGCTGATTTATACATTTTTTCAGCATTTTGACTGTCTTTAAAATGCATTCTTTTTGACGGAAACTGAGCCTCGCTGAATAGTTATCAGCTATAGCAGAGTACATGTGAGGTCACTTTATTAGTGTGTGAAGAAGAGTCAGAAAGGTTCCTTATGCATGTGGCTGCTTTAGGCATAGGTGTTTCCAGGATTGGGGTGGGGAGGCGGAGTGCACTTCCACCCTCTCCCCCCCTATTTTCTTCTCTCCTTTCCTCCTTCTCCCTGCCCTCTTCCTTCCCTCTCTTCTCTCTCTTTCTCCCTCTCTTTTCTTTCTCTTTTTCTTGACAAGTTATTTTTACATAAGGTGTCTTAGGAACTGATAGCAGTGACTGTGACAGTAGCTAGAGTCGTTCTGTTGTCTTCCAGGATCTCTGGTTCATAGGAAATAAGACGCCTTGTGAGACATTTGAACGCAGACCCTTAACTAGTTGCAGGGTCAGTCGTCAGAGATGGGCATTTGTCTAACCCTTTCCTAACGTGTGCTTAAGGCCTGGATGAGGAGGATGGCGCTGAGGCTGCGAACCAGGAGACCAGAACGCACCGACGGGTTTTAGACCACCCTGCGGGAGGAGGCGCTGGCCATAGCCGCCGCAGGCAGACACGGGCCGGGTGCGGGCC